AAATTGTACATATATATTATAAAAATTCGAATTTTTGTTTTTTTAGGGGGAGCAATGAAGGAATATATTTCAATTTTTATTTATAATCTTACAAATATTAATTTATCTTAATTAATCTAGACATTATTTTGAAAGTGAAAAATCTCCTCTCGCATTAATGTACTGCAATTGTGAAAGGCTGATTTTTTTAAATGAAAAATAGTTTAATTGAAATTTTTGTTTGAGTTACTTTTTAAATAGAAATTATAACGGTATATATTGTAACGTCTTTATGTTGAGCAGTTAAATTCGTAAGCTTCAGTACATGGTAAAAGTATTCAAAACTTTTATCAAATCGTTTATTTAATCATTAGGAGCTGAGCCATTCCACTATGAAATACTTTTCCTCATTTTTCTGCTTTAATTAGTAGGACAATTTCACGATACAATGAAAGAGAACACATGTATACAGGCAGTTACCAAAATATTGGAAACACCTTAAATTTATTAAAATTCCCTTATCGGTGTGGTTTAGGACCCCGTTTGGCATGTAATAAAACTTCGATTCTCCTAGGAATCAATTGTTAAAAGTGTTGACTAGTGTTTAGAGGAATATATTGACCGTTCTTCATGAAGATATTGTGAAAGTTCTGGGAGAGATGCCGGTGAAGGGTATCGATTCCATATTGAACGCTCTGAAATAAACTATAAAGGTTCAATTACATTGTGTGATGTCGGGCGACTATGTAGACCTTTGTAGATCTTTAATTTCATCGTCGTGTTCATCCAACTATGAATGGATAAGCCCCGTTGCATGGATAGGTGCATTATCATCCTGTAAAATTCCATCTCCTGTAGGAAACAAAGTTTGCTTCATTGAATAGACCTGGGCAACTAAAATTTCTGCATTCTTCTCCTCAGTGAACCTTTCTTTCAGGGTTGGGATTGGTACAGCACAAAAAAATGACATAGTTACCCTTTTCATGACAGATCCACCTCCGTGCTTGATAGTTAGAATTGGACAATCACGATTATACACTTGAGTAGGTTCCTCTAAATGTGTACCCATCCTGTTCAGTGTAGAAAACACTTCATCAGACCATATTACTTTCTTTGAATATTCTCTCGATCAGGTTTAGTGAGTGCAAAACAGTGCTTCTCAAAGTTTCAATATTAGATACCCAATATTCAATCATAATTTTCATCGCACCCTCCTCATACAATAACAATGTATTGAATTCACTAATACTATACTTGACGCTCAGCAATACGACTTTAACCTCTTAAGTGCCGCTGACGTATATAAACTTCTCACTCAGCCAAAGCGTTAATTTCCCCGGACGTATTTATACGTCTTTCAGACGTACGATCTTTTCTGTGTACTGCTATCCCTAAAATTATTCCAAAAGTTTTGGAATGCAATAAAAGGACCTTGACAGTGTTTCCGAAGGATTTACTTATTTCAGATTGTTTGCTTCTTTATTCTTTACTCCCCCCAATACATCGCATATTAGCCCCTACGTGGAAAACGGTTGGCATAGGGAAGCGAATCGTGTAACTTTTAATCGGCAGTTAAGATATTAATTATAAACAGTACGAATTACTAAGATAAGTGTTAATGTTTGTATATAATTTCATATATGACAAGCTCATGGGGTCACTGTTAATTATTAAGCTTGTTCTTAACTTTGTACTGTTCAATTAATTATAAAATACTTTGTGTATTTCATTTTTTATTATGTCAGAATGTATTTATTAATTTACTGAAGTTAAGCAAACAAATTTAAATAAAATAAAATTTTGTTTTCGACTTTTCAATATGCTCGCGCCCCCCTCGTAGAGTTGTCACGGCCCCCAAGGGAAGTGCGCCCCACAGTTTGAGAAACGCTGGTGTAACGCCATGGTTGAAGACGATTGCCCTTAGCATCAGTGAGCAGCGGCTTAGGAATTGCTGCTTTGCCGTAAATCTTATATTTGTAATCATTGACATTGGATAATCCAGATGCTGCTTGATTTCTGCGATAACTTTTCCTGCAGATGTTTATTTTGCAGGCATTGCAATCAGCCTTAATAACCGTCACTGTCTTACACTGAGCTTCTCTTTCAGTCACCTGTTTTCCTCCTTTGCCGAGCTTTTCTTGCCACGCTGTATGTTTGCTGTCACGACTTTAGGCACCGTACTTCTAGAAACGCCTGAAAAGTTGAAATGTTTTGGCGCCACTTGCTCCTGCTATACTGGCTCCTACAATGTCTCATCTTTGAAAATCTGAGAGATCGAACATTTTATGCTACTACATACTACCAGAATGTATACATTTTTGTTTATAAAGAAAAACTGGTTTTTATTATTATATTTTAATGTTTAAGAAGCGCATTAAAAATGTCACTTTTATTCAAATGTTTTTCCATTATTTTGATAATCACTTGTACATGTGAAACACATCATGGAGAAGGTATTCAAATTTCAGACGAGTCATTAAAACTAAGATATCGAAGTGATATGATTCATTTGTTGTATTGCGGACGTGAACAAAAAATTAAAGATTCTTGTTTACATCACATCATTTATTTATGTTGAACATCAGGAGAGTTATTTGCGAAAGGGCTTCGCTATCACGAGCAAAAATACAACAGAGAGTTATTGTAGTGTACTCCCCGTACAAGTGCCAGAATAGAGAAGAGATCTTTCAAATACCAGGTTTTTGTGTACAGGGAAGAACGTAATATATATAAAAAATTGGCATGTATTCAAGCAAAAAGAAATATTAGTAATTTATAGAAATTACATAACTTTTTAGTGAATATTTAAAACCCAGTTAGTAAGGCACGAGGAAGCAGTTAATGATATTCTATTCTTTTTCTAAAAATCACAAATAAATCTCTATCAATAATTCAGGGTCTAAAGAATCACTAATAAATTTATCATAATATTTCATCATAATATTGTAATGCTTTATAAAAAAATAAAATGAGACTCAATTTGAAATAGGGTTATTCGGATCTATGAATTAGATGTTAAAAATAAAGAAGATTAAAAGTTTGAGTAGATATAAAGTTATATTCATGAGTGAAAGTACAAGACAAAGAAATGATTTAACATAAAAAATATCGCTTTTAACTAGCAGAATAAAAAAAATGCATATTTCTTTAAAAAAAATCTATCAAACGTAATTTATTTCTGGATACATTTGCAGACTTCGAATGCGTCTATATGAAATGGTGGCACTGGGTAGCGAATTGTATAACTTAACGCGGTTTAGGGGTTACGATCTTTGTTGAAAATAACTGAAAACACATTTTTTGTCTTATACTTCTAGTCACTGCTTCTAAATTGTAGCAAGGAATCCTTATTAATATTATAAATGCTAAAGTTTGTATGTATGGATGTATGTTTGTTACCCTTTTATGCAAAAACAATTGAATGGATTTTAATTGAAACTTTACAATAACATAGCGTATGCATCAGAATAACTCATAGGCTATACTTTATGTGTGAAACGTCCAAAATATAACCATAATTACCAAGTATGTAGGAAAAAATTTTGCCATCTGTGAAAAGCGCGAGGCAGTATCTATCTAACTTTTATGAGTAAAACAAAACTTTCCCTTTTTGTTTTGTCTACGCCAGGCCCCAGTGAGTGCTCGCTTCTAGTTCGTTGCTTTGATCAGTGTAATCAACATTTTTTTATTTTTGAATAAAACTAGATTTCGGTGGGAGAGGTTGTGGCAAGTCTCTCCTTATTTGAACAGTTACTTTTGATTTTTTCATGTGTAAGCCATTATCGCCAAAATAGTGAACCATAAATACAATAAACATTGGTAATTTATTTCTATGTACGTTTTTCCTTTTGTGATTTTATTATACGCATTTGGTAGTAATAAATTGATCATCATATTAAAATAAATACTTTTATCGCTTGTGCTATTCAAAGTAAATAAACTTTGTTTTTCACACACCATCATTTGGACAATTTTGCATAATTTGTTTGTGGTTAGTAGTTAACTTTAACACTATAATTTTAATAAAATAGGCAGGTATTGCATTTGTTAAGTATAAAAATAATAATAACTACCTTGCTGTATTTTTTGGAAGTGTAGAAAATGTACCTACTTAGAAAGTGTACTACCTTAGAAATGTACTTACTTAATTCTGTCGCGAAAGCGTACATCTAATCATTCCCGAAGCTCTAATAAAGCTCGAGCTATGAAAGTAGCTAGGCTTAAGGAAACATTTCTATAAGCTGAACTGCGAAGGCTTGAACAGGAGGAGCGTGAGGCATTTTACAATTTTAGCATAAAATAAGTACAACAGAAAGTAATATTAACGCATTATACTTCCAGATATAAATTATTTACACTATTTTAAGCGTTCATTTCACAAAATAAGTAACAATGTGCTATTTTTGCTGAACAGAGGTCAGCTTAGGAAGGGGTTTTCAAAAATCGTCTCACAAGAGAGTTACGGGGAGTTAAAATTTTAAAAAATCCTTTTTGGTAGCTATAGATCAATAGACTGAAAATTTAACAAACGTGGTTTTGTTTTTGTTCAGCTGAGATATCCAAAAAGCTTTTCTTAATTTGCAGTTCAAGTAAAATTAATTCATTAAAAACTTCTTTATCCTTCAATCTGTATTGTTTAATTTTTTCGATTCACCCGTGCAAAGACCTGGTATAACAGTTACTATATATATATATATATATATATATATATATATATATATATATATATAAAATATATATAAAGTAAAATAATTCCTACTTAGGTCAACAAAGAAAAAAAAATTTAGTTGCTTTTTATTAAATAGTTAAAATTATTATAAATATGTAAATACATACGACAGAATCACTATATTAAGTGACAAAATAGAAAGCGGTTTTCCTCTCAATTTTCTGTTTTCCTTTCCATAAAAAGTGTAGGACTATTTTTGTTTGTTTGATGCTATTTATTTAAATTAATTAAATTTAACTATTATAATAAAATAGCATAGTAAAAAAAGGAATCAAATACTCAGAAAGTAGGCCATTCCTGGTAGGATTCGAACCCACGACTTTTGAACTAGAAGTCCAACGCACAACCCATTGCGATACAGGAACCCAACGAAGGCATTTCCTTTCTATATATCCTGTTGGACTATTATTTTTGTTTAGTACTAATTATTCATTTTTTAATTTAATTAATGAATTAATAGTTAAAAAACTGTATTAACATTAAATGCCATCCACTACGAGATTAAAAACATGTACTTGAACTTGAATGGATGAATCGAAAATATTTTATTAACGATTAAACATTTGAACAAGGCTTATAAAGATACATATAAATATATATATAGGAAGAGAAGGAACTAATAGCAGAATTTTAAAAAAAGGAATTTTTTATTTCATAATCAAATCCTTACCCCCAAAAATTAAGCATTATTTATGATTCTATCAATAGTTTGACACACAAATAACTTGCACATTCATTGTCAATACAAATTCCTTAACTTCTCTGGGTATTATCCTCAGCGTACGTCAATATCCATACCTTAAATGTGTTGAAACTATATATCTTTGTGTTAAACATTTAATTAAACTATCTGAATAATGGGTCAGCTTCGATTATAAGCTTCCAAGCTGTAAATCTGTCATTCTCTGGATATTGATTGCATATAAAACCCTGATTATATACATTTCTCAATTATTCTCTTAATTATATTAGGCAATTTAAACTATATAGACTCATGTAATTTCTACTAACATTACTTCTAAAAATTTTTGTTCTTAAAGTGTTATATTTTGTCTAATTATTCATATGCGGCCCACTAATTTGAATACAATTTTCTGAGGAAGGAATTTTAAATCTTGAATGTGAATGTGAATGTAATAATTTTAATTAATTCTCTAAATATTTTCTGATAATCTTACTTCCTTTTTTTATCTGATCATATTGTTTTATCACGGATCATGTATTCAGTAATCCTATACATTGTTTGTTACCTCATTTGTTAAGAAGAGAAGTATCTGTAATTTATACTGTTATTAAATTATTAAATATATGTATTGTTAATCAAATGCATTTGCTAAAATATTTCACATTTAAAAAAATTATTTTCTTGAATTTTTAAATAATTGAAACATTCATTAAAACAAACATTTTATAATTTTTACACTCTTTATGTTTAGAAAGGACTTAAATAAATAAAATGAGATATATATTTCGATTTTTTAAATTAAAAGTAAAAAAAAATTCTCCTTTTTGTAATTTTTTTTAAGAAGTTCATTAAATATTTATATACTACCGTGCTACGGTGTTTGTCTGCAATGAGCTCCGAAACAACTCAACCGATCCTAATATTTTTTTTATTTCTAATGGACTGTGGACTGAATTTTTTCCATTACAGACATAGTACATTTCCGGTAGCCGGTATTTCTTTTAGTGCGGCATTACATAAGGCAGATATTAATTGTCACAGTTAATTTTGACGCTCCTCTCTCCCGCTAGATGGCGGCCCCCTGAGCTCTGACGATGCGAACCTGTACTAGAATTTAATTTTTACCGAGAGTGCCGAAGAGGTATCTTTTTATGCCTCTGTCGATTTTCTGCATCATGAAAATTCACCGACTGGAGCGGCCCGAACCCGCAACCTTGGGTGCAGGGGGTCCAGTGACAAACCAACTACGACACTCAGCCACTCCAATTCTCATATAATTTTCTTCATTGTGTGCCATTTTTCATTGTCATTGCTGGAAATGCGAAGAATCTGGGAAACAAGAGAAGCCACAAAGTATCGCAATGCGCGCGTGTCGACGGATCAAATATTGCAGATCGAAGTACTCAAAAATAAATGCTCGGTGTAATTTGGGGCGTGGAGCCGAATTTTGAATCACTTCCAAAAAATTCCCATATTTTGCCGGTTAGTGCCGGACCACTGTATTTTTGACACAACTTTGCAGAGACTTACCTTAAAAAAGCCCGGAACGCGAAAATCCTGGTTCCTGGCATATTTCAACACGGGCAATTCAAATCTGATATCCGACTCGAGAAATTCCCGTAACTTTGTGAAATAATGCCAGATGGTCATATTTTTACGCAGACCATAGCAGGGGTTTTCCCGAAAAAATTTAGGGTGTGAAAAGTGCGTTCTTCGTGTTTTTCTGTGAGGGGAACATGAATCTGAAATCGAATTTTCAAAATTCTCGTAAGTTTGCCCGATGATACCGAGTGACCGTAAGGTGCCCCCACACCCACCCACTAAGAGGTGCAGATGCGCCGAAAGTGAGAACCGGATGCATCTCGGGGGAGAATCTGATTCGCAATTTTGCTGTATATTGCCGGAAGGAAGTTCAATGGTTTCACGCTCCAGTCCCGCGTCCTGATTTTCATTCTCTATGAACGATTTTTACGATCATGTACGATCGTAAAAAAATAATCACGTTGACAATCGCATCATCAAGCATTCCTTCCACTTTGTTAGAAGGTAGATAGACTGCGCTATTAGCATTCAGGCTGCTCTTAGACATTCATAATAAACCAGGCGTAGTATGTAACAAAAAATAATAATCGAAATTGTTAGGGTATTGAAAAAGAGTTCAATCATAATCTGAGATAAGTGTACCACTGCCCATAAACATTCACTCGAAGCCTTATATAGCACTTTGTAAAATTTAAATGGCAACGAGAAAATATTCGGGCGTGCTGTTCTATTTCTGTCTTAAGATTCTCGACAGACATTGCCAGTCATTCCTCACATCCTTTACCCGCAAGATTAACGCATATTTAAAACAATCGTTTTTATGCGGAAACGACAAAACATTTACTGTCATAAGACCAAGTATCTAGAAGTATCTAGGGTGAGTGTATCCAAAGAAGTAGTTATAGAAACCTGCAGGTTTTGATTCACATTTCCGTTAAAGCTGATGCACACAAGGGGATCATAGCGGTTCTGAAACCACAGTGATGGAGTGTTTCAAGCCTTAGTGAGACTTAGAATTGAAATTACTGTATTGTACGCTCATGTGAATTTTTAATCTGACATTTTTCGAACAGAGTATGTCATACCTACCATCTAACATTTTTCAACACTCCTAAATCTTTTTTGGAAAAATGAAAAAGTTTTTTGTAACTGACTTTTAAGGTATCCGACTACGTTCAGAATCGTGATTTTTAAAAAAACGCATAAATGAATAATTTTCACGATATTTAGTATCATTTAGATTAGAATACATATATAAAATTGTTTTAAGGACATTTTGACAAAAAAAAACAATTTATTTAAATACAATATTTTGGCAAAAATTAACTTAGAACAACCTTTATTCAAAATGTTCTCCTTTTGTGAAAAATGATTCTATTAGAATAATATTTTGCCTGTACATAGCTCAGACCTCTGCACGGAGGCTCAACTACGATTTTTGAAAAATTCACATTATTTTCAGAGTTACAACTCATTGAAATAGTTATCGGTGCTTTTTTCTTAAAATTTCTCCCCTTTGTTGGAGTAAAACATGGATAAACTTACTTCTAAGGTAAATATTTCAAAAATTCAAGTTGAGCCTCTGTGCAGAGGTTTGAGCTATATACAGGCAAAATATTATTATAAAAGAAGCATTTTTCATAAAAGGAGAATATTTTGAAAATTGGTCATTCTATGTTCATTTTTTGGCAAAATATTGTACTTAAATAATTGTTTAATTTAATACTATTCTTAAAACAATTTTATATACATTTTCTAATTAAGTGACACTAAATATCATAAATATTATCCATTTACACACTTTTGCAAAATCACGGTTCCGAACGTAGTCGGATACCTTATGGAGCCTTAGCTTGTAGGCGAAATCTAAATATTTATTTTTAGATACCGCCTCTTCGGGAATGCCATACCCTGCGTTTCAATCTCCTTTGCAATCCTGTATGCATGAGCACGCTTTAAATCTCCCGAATGCTATGAAGTGTTACTGTTTCATGATGAAGAAATGTGATTTTTAGGCTATTTAATAGGTATCGTACAACAGTATCTTCAGATGAAGAAAGTATCTTTGCGGTGATGATGAGGAAGAGTCAAATGGTGAAGTGTATAATTGGAAACATGATTTCTCCACTGAAATCAATCTAGATTTAGAAGAGAGAGACACTGCTGAGAGAGAGAAAATACATGCTTTATATGTAGAGACCGAATACCCCTTTGGGAAGAACGTAATTTTAAAGAAAACAACTGGTAAACATGTTATCCTCTTTCAGATGGACTTTTGAAAAAGAAAACAACTATTGCTGAAACAATAGGAGAAAATAAAAAATAAAGAAAATAGAAGTGTTCTCCCCTATGTTTAGTTTTAAAAAAAAGATACAACAATTGCTTCATATACACCCAAGAAAAATTCGAATTTTCTTCTACTTTCTACAATGCTTCGTGGTGATCAGTAGCGCAAACAGGAATTTTTCAAGGGGGGTCCGGGGTCGAAAGTTCACCATTCTTGTATCATACTCCTTTTGATTTTGTCGATTTTCGGGAACAAAACACAGTAAAAAACTAATTATTGAATTAATAATTAGCATTAATTAATAAATGTAGTCATTAATAACAAATACTTAAATAAATTTAATTACTATATACTTAGAATTATAATCAATCGGAAAAAAAATTCAAGGGTTTTGGAGGGGGTCCGGACCCCCAGGACCCCCCATTGTGTGCGTCACTGGTGGTGATACAATGGATTCATCTATACAATACCATGCATATTGGGTTTCGTTGAAATCTGAGATATCTTTCTTAATTTAACTGATTGAGCAATTTATTCATTGATAAAATGACCACATCATATATAATAGCTAGGAAATGTTATTGTTAGCCTATAACAACATTTTTTTGTGTTGTTGAACATTGCAATGATAAATGTGCAAATTATTTTAAGTACTCAGTAATCACCTACTTAACATCGAACCAGACGCTGATTTCTAAAGTGTTTTGGATTTTGATTTACAGAAGAATGTAGAAACCAGCAATCAATGCTCCTATGAAAATTTTAAAAAGAGTTAAGATGCAGTGTGTGAAACCATCGCACTCACTCGAGACGAATACTAAAGGAGTGTATAAACAATGTACTAAATGCAG